AACAGACGTCGAAAAAACACTGAAAATCTGAAAATAATGTGCTACAAATATGCACTTTTTTTCACTAAACTATGCACAAACACTGATTTGATCCTTTAAAATAGAGGGATCGTATGGTTACTTAGAGCTCAGGCCATGTTGCCAGTTCGCTGCAGTGGTCTAATGAGCGGTGGAAAAACTCATATGGTCAGATGAGTCATTGTTCCCCTGCTTTCAACAAGCTGATGAGTACGTGTGGCACATGAACTAAAAAAAATGTCTACGGGCCTGACCGCTACTTCCCAACGTGAATTATCATCATGTCCATTATGTGGTGAAGTGTGTTAATCCTGATGGGGAAATATTTATTCAGAACGACAGTTCCGACATTCTCAGAAAAACAAAGGATCACTACGTCGTTTGATAGAGGAGAAAACAAAAAAGTAAACTGCCCTCTGCAGTCAGGAGCAGGAGGATCCCAGAGAGGAGGATTATCCGAATTTGTGGAGCTGAAGTGAAGGGAATCCTGGATTTCCTGTGTGCTTCTGTTACCATGGCAACTGATGCCCCTAAACGAACCTGCTGCAGGTGAAAATCTGCCATTACCAAAGTCAGGAACACCAACTTAATATAAAGCTCAGCCTTTACAAAGCACTTTAGCTCCTGCACTAGAAAACAAGCATTATTATCATGTACTCTTCTTCTCTGTGTTTTAATTCCAATTAAATACAGTTAATAAAAATAATTTGAGACCAGGCCTGTATTTTCAACCATTTAAAGCAACTGAGTCACCTACCGAGGAGCATACGTTTACTGACTGACTGCCTGTAAAGAAACACATTATACTCTCTAGAAAAAGCCTGGTCACATGGATATGAGTGGTGACACCCATTATCTACATGAGCATCTCATGTTCACCTGTGTGGTTTTTGTGTTTTGGAGAGAGAGGGGTGAGTGGGTCACCGTATTTTTTGTCGACTGCACTTTTAAGTTTGTGTCTGTGTGTCACTGCAGAGTCCCTCCAGGATTTTGCATGTTTTTTGGGGACGTTGTTGTGGCCTATCATACTATCATACCTGATTTAATGGCAGCTTTTCTATGAAACTGTGATGCATGTTGCAGTGGGGGGTATTTGCAATTAAACTTTAGAATCAGGTGAAAATTTCATTTATTATTTTATTTTATTTTATTCTATTTTATTTTATTTTTTATATAATTAATTAAAAAACGAAGGCAACTTGTTCCAGTGAGAATAAAACTAAAACACTATTTTGAATGTTATAAGTAACTTTAAACAAGGTGAGAGCTTTATTCAACCTTTTAGGTAAACAGGTATTCCTGTTCAGTCAATAATAGGTATTCCTAACCTATTTTCTTCATTATGCGTGCACTCACACACAAACACACAGTTTGTCACGCAGACAGGCAAGCACACCTCTATTAGCCCTGTTTCCACCAAACACTTTAACCTTTGGAACCAAAATAAAGATTTTAAAAGAGTATGTCATTCAAGAGAGACCATAAAACCTAAAGTGATGGTCAAAGTTGTCACAGTGAAATTTAAGGTGTGCTTATGGATTCACGTCATCAACTCATGCATTGAGTAACATTACAAGTAAATGTTCCACCTTAAAAGTTACCTTCAGTCGGCCCATTGAATTTTTTTTTTCTCAGACTACAGCTGCTGTGAGAGGCAGCAAATCAGGCAGCAATCACCACCGGCACGGTGGTGTGGTGGTTAGCACTCTCGCCTCACAGCAAGAGGGTTGCCAGTTCGATCCCGTGGGAGCCCTTCTGTGCGGAGTTTGCATGTTCTCCCCGTGTCAGCGTGGGTTCTCTCCGGGCACTCTGGCTTCCTCCCACAGTCCAAAGACATGCTGGTTAATTGGTGACTCTAATTATCCGTAGGTGTGAATGTGAGTGTGAATGGTTGTCTGTCTCTATGTGTCAGCCCTGTGATAGTCTGGTGACCTGTCCATGGTGAACCCTGCCTCTCGCCCGATGTCAGCTGGGACTCTCAAGAGGATGAAGCCGTTAGAAGATGAATGAATGAATGAGTTTACTAATGTAAAACAGGTTGCAAAACCAGACACAACTCAGCCCTGAGCAGAGTGACCGTCCTCTACTGACCAATCAGACTGCAGTGTTCACAGCTCCACCTTTTAGTACCAGATCTGTGTGCTAGGTAGGGATGTAAGGATTACCAATATTACGGTAAATCTCGGTTAATTTTTACACAGTAAGAATTACCGTTTATGTTTAAATTAATTGCATTATCGCGGTGGGTTATCAGGATATGTAATAACAGCCTCATTCAAGTCTCGCGATGCAGGCGCTGCGTGAATGCGTAGCATGTGTAAACACAAAGAATGAAAACATGGCGGAAGCTGGTGATAGCGGCACTCAGGACATTTCCCCCCCAACTTAACGCACAAAATCTGAGGTCTGGGCGTACTTTGGGTTTCTGAAGAATGCCAAGGGACAGCTGGTGGAGGACAACTATCCTGTGTGCAGAGCATGCAGAAAGAAAGTTGCTGCGAAGGGTTAGCCTGAGTGTCAGACTGAAGCTCCCAGAACCTTCAGTCTGACATCGCCTCCATTGAAGGCGATTTACAAGGGGGAGGGAATTTGATTTTTTCCCTAACCAATCAGTAGAGATCAACGACTCACCCAGAATCTGACGTCATTAGTATCCATGTATCGGGGGGTGCTGAAAACAAGTGAGCATTGCCCGTTTAAAATGTCTCCATCGTCGTGCACGCCCAGCTGCATCGTCCAGTTTAGCAGCTTCCTTAATTTGATCCTCCATTAACGTGAGTAGTGGCGAAATACCTCGATAGCATCGTTAATGTGGTCTGTAGGATCTGTAGCGGTTGCCATTGTTGCTATCCTCACCAGTTACCCACCGGCATACAGTTTGACATCAGCGTGGCGCTGATTGGCTAATTGCTAGACCCCCGGCGTTCATTGGTCCGTCCATCGTTTGGACAAGATAAATCGCAAATTTATTGCAGTATGCCAGACCAGAGATGCAAGCCTACTCAATTGAGTGGGCGGGGTCTATGGTCTGGAACCAGGCTAGCGAAGGGTAGCAACACTACAAATCTGCTGGCTCATCTCTGTGACCATCATCCACAGCTTTACAGCCAATGCAAGTTATGCTATGCAAACGTCAGTTACTGTGTGAGGGACTTCGGTTTTACTAAGATTGTCATAATGTGTAACTCTTGACGTATACGGGACATTTGAGCCGTATCTGTCCTCCTAAACGGTGACTAGGTTTTCTGTTTTCGTTTAAGACACTTAGGAGCTACCAGCTGAGTAGCTAATAGCCGTATTAGCAGCTATGTTGCTAACGTTAAGTGTTTCAAAATAAAACGGAGCTGAAAACACTGAGCGGAGCCGACAGAATATAAACAGACGTAACGTAACGCTAATCGAGATCAACTATGATTGAATCACTATGATTATGGTTATTGTATGGCGAGCTAGAATCGATATAGATGGCCAGTTATGCTTTCTCGACATAAGCTCAAGGAAACAACATAAAACGCTGCCGTGTTAACCTTTGACCGAGAACCTTAATGGGGGCTCTCGGTTTTATAAAGTTAATTAAATTCACTGCTCACAGTCTTGACCTAACACACACACACACACACACACATGAGAACAAGCACTCGTTTTCTCATACAGGCACTCCTCTCACATGCACACTTCTAATATGTGAATTATTCTGTGTAATGATGACCATTGCCCTTAGGGTTTTTTGGTTTCTCCTGCACCTTTGTGATATCTATTCTATATATTGTATGTTATTTGTTCTACTCTTGCATTTTTTTGTTTTATATATATTTTTCCTCTCGTGCTAATAAATACATAAATAATATATAAATTGTTTACATATTTTGCTGACTGTCAAGATGCACCAAACAAATAAGCTTTGTTCCTGTAATTTGTTTACATATTTTGTTCATTTAAAATAAATTTTTCTGTTGCTGTGCCAATCCCTTGCCCCTTTAATGTGAAAGTTTCATTTTAATATAAGATTTTGACTGTTAACATTTTAGTATGATAAGGAAGTTACAAGATTTAGTGAAGTTATTTCATTGTATCTATTTTTTGGACATTTTACAGCGCTTAAAAAATATCGTGATATTATTGTTTACCGTGATAATTTGGTCACTATAATTGAGATATCAAATTTTCCATATCGTTACATCCCTAGTGCTAGGTACCCCAACAGAGGGGGGACCAAACATGGGGACGTAAGGAACGGTTCCATTGGTACCATCCACAACTTTTCACAGTGGAAACAGAAAAAATGCATACCGAACTGAACTGCAGCGTACTGCTCGGTGGAAACAGGGCTTATCCTTTTGTGATTTATACAACACTAACATTATCACTAACCATGTATAGTTAATCTCACTCACCTTGATTCTTTCCACATTTTCAATAGATCTGAATGTAACAGCCTCTGGCACAGTGATTTGTCTTGTCTAATGTCCGTGTGTGTCAGCCATTCTCTATGTGTGTTTGCTATACAAAAGTGTTTGTGTTCTACCACAACGTTGCACGCTGTGCAAAACAGTTCACCCCTCTTCTGTGCATAACACCGGGAAATTACCTTGCACAGTCTTAGGCAATAATTTTTGTTGGTAAATGTGAGATGTTCTGAGGCACACTTGTCTGCATCTTCACAACTAGAAACAAGGAGGTGAGACTCATGGGAAACAAGATGATTTGTGAAATATGCAGGAAAGCTACAGTGATTGAACAAAATTGCCAGATCGAGCAGAATTCACAGGGATTGGTTGAATTTGCCTTGATTGTTGCGATTGCGACATCCTGGAGAGACTGATAAAGGCTGGAAGTCGCTGTGACTTGCCAAAAATAGCCCAACACCAAGACGTGGTGTTTTGACACTTCTGTTTTGTTGCTTTTTTGGTCTGCTAATGCTGAATCCGATGGGATCCACCTTTTATTTCACCGTATGTTTAGATATGCATTTACACCTGCATTGTAATTACAGAAAACTTAGGGAAAGCATGCGAGGACCCACTGTTCAACGTCAGGGAGAAACATGCTTCAAGTGTTTGATAAAGTTAGTTGCTGTCAGGAGACAGCTATTGCAGAGTCTGAGTAAAAACCCCAGGCTCATGGCTAATTATCTTGTGATGTACAGTGTCACACCTCAAAGCTGATCTCTCTTGATTGTCCAAACAGGGGCTCTGTCGCCAGGTGTGTGTCTGAGTATGCGCGTCGCAGGTGTGTAGAGCTGCACGTGGTCTTGATGGCAACCTCATAGGGAGGCGGGGGTTCCTGCCATGGAGGAGGGTGAGGCGATGGACTGAAACCACCATGGTCCATGGGAGGGTAGTCGAACTCCTCCCCACGAGCAACGTGCCTGTGGCGTTCCATTGTCCTGCACTCGAGGAAACAGTGGCAGTAAGAAATCATGTGGGAACATTTTATGAGGCCAGAGCAAACACAAATTGATATGTACAGTGCAGTTCTGAGGTGTCAGCGGTTGTAGAGCTCAGACGGAGTCGTGTTCTGTCTGTAGTGTTTCCTGCCAAATACAGGATTTGGGTTTCACAAAGGTATAATGGACATCTGGGCTGTGCGGGATGATAAAAAGCTTTTGAATTACAGACATAAACATGAGCTATGAATACACACTCTTAACAGAACAACAGGAGCTAGTCAGATGTTGAAGTTCAAATGAAACCTGCAGTCTTTGAGTTACAACAGGACCAACTCCTGAATCCAAAATCCAACGTTTATTCATTGTGTTGCTGAGATTAAGATGAGAAGATCGATGCCATTGTCATGTTTGTATGGTAAATGTAAAGGGGACTGCCGAAAAACACAGTTTGATCCTGGTCCCGAGCCTTACGTCCTGTGTCACACAGACTGTTGTGTGTCTGATGCGTGTTTTCATCGGCTCGCATTTGGTTTGGTCACTTTTTGGATAAGCTCGCAAAACCCTAACCTAAAAAGTTGTTTATTAACCTAATCTTAACCCCAAGATTGAAACTACAGGGGACGTCACACTTTACTCTCACTTCAAACAGAGATGATATTTTTTGTGTCCATTATCTAACACATGGATGCACTCAGTTTTTTGCTCCTTGTACTGCGACAATAATTCCCTGCAGATTTTCAAATGACTTTTACCCAACTGCTGATAAATTCTCAAGTTGACCACCATGACATTATACTTAAAAATGTACACAACTAAGTGGTGCTAAAATATATTGACATTTAAATGGACTAAATTATGGCCAACATAGCAGAAGTATGTAGTATCTTGGCCCAATAGATTTCCAACCCAAAGAGGCTTGCGAGGCAAACTATCAGTTTCCATGTACATATAGGTATGAGACCAAATTACAGATTACAGGAGCACATGAAAAGTATTTTCACCAAGCCTTCATAACTGACGTGCATCAAATAAACTGATCTTATGTATGAATGTGTTATTAGCTGACCAGTATATCTGATCCAATATTTTCATGGCACATGATATGTTATGACATTCTGATGTTAGCACGACTAGGCAAAACGTAATTCATAAAACGTAACGTAATTCATCCTCCATCTTGGAAAACTCATAAATAAGTGCACAGGGCACGGCTTAGTGGGGCTAAGACAGTCACACAGCTTACCAAAACATGCACTGCTACGTCCTGCAAAATCATGCTCAGCTGGGCGAAACCCCGTGTGTTTAGGGAATCCCAAATGTAAAGCTACAATCAGCAGCCCGTTAGCTTAGCATAAAGTCTGGAAATAGGAGAAAACAGCTGGCCTGGTTCTGTTCAAAGGTAAATAAATTCACCCACCAGCATTTCCAAACCTCACTAATTAACACTTTGAAATCTGTTTTCTTTAATCTGGAAAAAAAACGAAGTGTAAAAAATGATAAATCACGTCTCACTAGTCTTTTTTGGGGGGGCGGGACCTGGTTGTCAGGCAACCAGAGGAGACTCTAGGAAGTTGCTGGGCCCTGACGGTTAATGGCCTCTTCATTCGTCTCCTTGTCTCCCCACTTGCTCATCTTTACAGTGTTACGTTTCCTTCTTGCTACTAGCTGCTCGCTAATTCCTCGCTAGTTCTTGTTTATCCAGTGCCAGTAGGTCGCACGTGCGGCGTCATCAGCAGCTCCTCCCACAAGTCTTCAACAGCCCCTTCCGTGGCAGAAGGCCTCCTCGGTCTGTTTAAACCAAAAGGGTTCCGCAAATATGACTACCCTACGAGGCGGAAAATTGGGCACCTCGGATCAATCCGCTTCTGTGTGTTTAAACGCTCGCAGCTTGCTGTTAAAACGGCCCAACATTCAAGGAATATCTGGCAGTGTAAAAGGGGCTTGTGCCACGCTTTGAAGCCAATATGACATAGTGGCCAAATGTAGAATTACAACTTCAGAGTCCGTCATGTGATGCCTGGGGGCCCAAAGAGAAAATCTGAGAGTACACTTGTTGAGCATCACAATAGCCCCAAAATGTTGTTTCACTGCCAGAATTTGATCCATTCAGTTCGATAACATTGCGAAAGTCTGGAAGACCCGCACCATTAGATCATTTTTATCCCCATTCAAGTTAGAGGAGGGCCCAACGACGTGCAGGATCTGGGTAAAAAAAAAAAATTTAGGATCTGGATAATTTGATATTTTTTGGCTTCATGTGCCGCTTAGCAGCTGTCATAGGAATCAAAGGGGGGCCACCTCCAACACTGTATCTTGTTTACTTTATACATCCATGGAGCCAGGCTAGCTGTTTCCCACGGGAAGTGCCCTGAGGTTTGAAGCCAATTTTTGTAGTGGCCACACAGTGGACTACATCCATCACATGATGCCATTGGGCCAAAAAGAGTTTCCCCCCATAGATTTACATGGCAAAGACATGTCTGATACATTTTTGAGCCTCACAAGCCCCACAAAATCAGAATTTCATGCATTTGGTTCGATAACATTTCAATAGTCTAAAAGAGCTACGAGTGAATCATTTTACGCCCATTCAAGTTACCCAAGTGCTGAACCGGAAGTTTAGTGCACCTGCCATATGGGCCCAGTGATGCAGAAGCAGCACCGATCAGTTGAGTAGTTATATCTGCTGCAGTTCAATGTTTTTGGCTTTGTGTGCCAGTTATAAAGGGAAGAAATGTGACCCCACCTTCCAGTTCTTTTTATACATCCATGTGGCCTTCAGTCTTTATGCTAAGCTAAGCTAATCGGCTCCAGAGTCATATCTAGCACACAGATTTGAGAGTGGTGTGGATTTTCCTCACCTGCACTAAAGAAAGCAAATAAGAGTATTTCTTAAAATATAAATCAGTTTCTTTAACTTTATATTTTGTCGTGATTATATTTCAATAACTGCGCATCTTGACTGTAGGCAGCATTAGATGGGATCGGCCCGGGCCTACTATCAATGAAAGACTGTGTAATCCAGGGCTGAGCACGGCCTGCAGAGGGCAAGGTGGCTTTTTTTTCTTCCGAGTTTAAAGGTTCACTTGTATTTTGACCAAAATGAATGAGATTTAATATCAAAGTGGGCATTTCTCTTGAAAAAGTGGCATTGCTGGGGTCTGTGTGCAGGCCTCTCATATACTTGTGAACAGCTCTATCTCTTAAGGACCTTGAAAATTGATAACTGAACCTCTGATGTCATCAAATGTAGAGCTGCAACAGGGAGGATGAATTAGACAACATGGCAAATCGGACAGTAACAATGTCCTTTTAAAATCTTTTCTTCGAGTCAGCTAAACAGTACAGTGCAGGACATCAGTGTATTAAACTTAAATCAATGGTTATCTTATTTTCTGGCTTCAGGAGAAAATGATTTACAAATACAGATTAAACTGTGCCAAATATATTATATCTAAACATTTTTTGTACCCACCTGGGCAGAAACACTGACTGGGACTCTGGGAAACGGCTTCCTGGGGGTGTGAAGAGGGCATGGCTGCCAAAGTTGGGGGAGTCGTTGTATGGATAATGTGGACACTCCGGGTCGAACTCTCGGTGGTTGTAGTTTGCTGCACTTTTGCTGTTCATAGCCCAGAATAACCCCAGGATGAGCATGACCACCCCCAGCACCACGCAGCAGAGGGAGAAAGCCTGCATGCGGCTCTGGTATGAGGCCAGGAAGGCTGTGGAGCCCCCGGTCACAATGAGGAAGGCTCCGATGAAGATTGCTCCGTGGTGCAGGGAAGGCATCCTCCTCCGGGACCGGGACTGTTTCTGAGGTTACTGAGAAGGCTGTGACCGGCTGGATAGTGTCACTCACGTACTAACAGTCCCACGGAGTGCGCTCCCCATGCGCTCTGGCACGGACCAGACATCCAAATGATTTACTCCACAGTTACAGAAGTATTATGAGAAGGAAAAGCTCGTTGAATCTTACTTATTTGTTCCAATCATTTCTCCCATACTGTTAAAAAACTGCTCATCATAAAGTCCAAGTGTTAGTCCTCTCTCTGTAGAGCTCCAGCTCCTGGGGAAAAGAGTTAAAATTAATGGTTTCTTGCTGAACAAAGAAAAATAAAACGGTAAAGGCTCTGATGCGCATCAGGCTGAAGTGGACCAGCAGTGTTTATCATCAAGGCAGATGGACGAGAGGACGGCAGAGCCCATTAAGAAATCTTTACTGGCGCCCCACCCTCCCTCTGGCTAATGTGTCTGAAGGGTACCACTTTAGCCCTGTGTGTGTGTGTGTGTTTGTGTGTGTGTGTGTTTGTGTGTGTGTGTGTGTGACAGCAATTTCTCCAAACATAAATGGCCATACTGAAACAGAGGTATTTAGGCCCACTTCCTTTGACAAAATGAGATGTGTTGTACCCCAGTAATGGTGTTGGGTTACATAACTCGAATAAAGTTTAAAATGTTGAAGATGTCATCAGCAATCTCTAGGAACTGCAACATCCCTGCAATGTTATTTAATACAGTTTCTACAACCTTTGCAACCTATAGAATTTATTAAAGGGTTAATTAGTATTTTGCTATCTAGACCTTTAGCTGCCAATAAGGACACTGAGGTCATGTTCTGTTATATAGATTTCAATCTGAATTTGAGGAAAAAATTAGGAGTGCTGCACTCGGTTAAGGCACTATGTAATTAGCTGTAAAAAATCAGGTGCCCTTTAAGGATGGGGCAAATAGTCACATAAAGATAAAAAACAAAGACACAAAAATGCATCAGAGACTCTGACTGTAGTTAAAAACCCTTTATTATTAGTGTCCTGGCACTATTGTAAACCTAGGTATTCTTTAACTTCTTTCCTCTTCCGAGGAAATCATACTTCCCATGGGTGAAAACTCACCAAACTTTGCACAAAGGTCCAGTCTCATGCCAGATATCCTCAGCTGTAAACTCAAGCCAATAGTCCTGATGGTGGCGCTACAGCAAGCGTCTAAAGTTCAAAACTTTGAAAATTCCTAACAAATCAAACATACGTGCTACAACTTCACAACATTCATCAAACTGTAGCCCCAATACTGAAGAAACTTTTGTACCTTTAAACCTATTAAAAATTATGAAGTTCATCGCTGTTTTTTTCAAAATCTGTAAAACTTCTTAAACCTATCTCCTCCCACAATTTTTGCTCAATTGACACCAAACTTGCTACAGAGCATCTTCAGACTGTCCTACAAAAACTGTGTTTCTCAGATTTTTGATTTATCAAAAATTGAGCCTACAGTGCATCAAAATGTTTGACTGTAAACGGTACTGTAAACATATACATGCAAATTCTTGCTAAATAAATCTTCAAAGTTCATGAAAAAAAGACAAAATTCTAGAGTCATGGTAGATGATGTGTAGCAAATTTCAGAATTTTATCTCAAAAACTGAATTTTTGACAGCATTTTGAATTTTGCTCTCATGTGAACAATTGGAGTCAATGTAAAAATGGCAATTTTAAACATCCGTTTTTCACTTATGGACCAAATCAATCATTGTTACAAACAAATTACCAACATCTCCATGCTGTCTAGATGCAATATGTGTATTTTCAGATTTTTGTCTTAATAACTGAATTTTTTACAGTGGTTTGAAATCTGCTTTTCCATGCATGGACGGCTGCTAAACCTGCACGTCTGGCTTAGTCAATTTGTGAAGCTACACATGAATTGTAATGACTAATTAGCTCAGTGAGATAGAAATTGATCCTTAGTCTCAGAGGTTGTGAGTTCAAGCCTCAGCTGATGCAAAAGGCAGATTGTGTTGCTAAATTCCTAAATGTCTTCCAATTCTTCTGCTTGTTGCTCGGATTGCCTAAAAATGCCCGGACCCGACCCATCGCTGCGCAGCACCTATAATAGCATACAGTTATTTCATTTTCATTTGCAGTTTCTTTCAATGTGGTTTTTGTCTAGTAGGGCTTCACCAGTATGTCATGCAACCTGTATCACATGACCCCCATGTGAGCTCCTAAATTACACACCTGTTTCCAAAGCATTTTCATGTCTGTACCATGGACTTTTACACCAAGTGAGCTGGCCAGTTGTTTTTTATGTTTAAATCTGAATTTGTCAGTGTGAGAAACCTAAAGAGAGTCTTTATTCTGTAATGTGGAACAGCTAACAGCAGCATTTTATATAGATAGCTTCCCTTTTTTAGAGTCAGTATATTTAAACTCTACAATAACACCAAATAAAACAATATTCACTAAACGCATTTAAAGCAAATAAATACAACCTAAAATGAACAAGAGTCTGCACAGTCATGCTAGCAGCTCTCTGAAGCTCTATTCAGGCACAGTGATGCTATAAGATAAATGTTTAGCATGCTAACATGATCAGGATGACAATACTGACATGCTAATGTGAAGTTGGCGACGGCATAGACTTGGTTTCAGCGCTCATTTCTTTGAGACCTAGTGAGTTCTCCACTCTCACCAAAGACTGTATTCTTTATTTGGTTTCTTGGATACATGTACACCTTTACACTTCTGGTGGCTGTGGCATGATAATTTACTCCAATCGTATATTCATTGTCCTCACTGCTTGTTGTATATTCAAGCGCTCTGGCACCACATTTTGCTTCTTGATATTTCTTTATTTTTTTTTTATTTTTTTTTTTTGCCTGGGAGCCAGAGGTTGAGGAAGGGACTCTGGGTGCAGGAGGATGGGGGAAGTAAACTCTGTTTAATTTTCATTATATTTACTGTATTTTTTCCTTGTCATAGAAAATTCAACAAAGAAATCGATCAAAAAAAAGTGGTTGCTAACAAGTGGCTAAATGTGACTACAGAACGTCATCACGTCAAACACAGCTTTACAGTGTCGTTGTGGTGGTGACGTTAAATCATGCGACCATGTCGTTTGATTATAGCCTAATGTTCGCGTTTTACTCATGGCGATTGCATTTAGGCTTCAAACATCATAATTTTGTGTTCACACCAAACGCAATCCGAACTTCAGGTCTTTTTTAAGGCAACAAAAAAGGTTTGTCTTAGGGTGCATCGGTACAAAAGCCTCCTGACACCCTGTGTCCAATGAGGACATCACATTTTTGGTTTACTGGACCTTATACGTCATTCTGCGTAACTTAGACCTCTCGTCCTCATTCTTTGTGTGCCATCTAGTGGCAGTAAGAGCACAATACATTAATCAGTGTAAAAACAAGATGGCAGCCGTCTCTGCTGAGTCAGTCTGCAGCTGATCCCGACACAAAAGTGGACAAGGTCCAAAACTTGATCACATTCTATGGTTGAAACTTGTGTATTTATTATTAATGTGTCTAGTTTGACATGCCATACAAGCCAAGACGCTGTTCATTAGAAAGTACTCAGCAGACATTGGGAATTATTCATCAGCTCGTTGAAGGACAGTGGGGCTTTACTGGGGCTTTATTGTTTCCCATTTGAGGATTGTTGGGACTTTATTTATTTATTCATTATCGTTGACAGTCTTTAGTTCCTACTAATCTCAGATAGCTGGGAAAACTGAAAATGCATGCCAAACAAAAGTTTGGGTCTCAGGAGGATAGGCAAACAAGAGAGGACGGCAGAGGAGATACCCGTACACCAATGTAACTGGGACAGACAGATACAAAAAGGTCCACAGCCTGAGATCAGTGCAAAAATAGTCAATTCATTTAAGACAAAAAGAGGTCAAGGTGCAAAAAAAGATCAAGAGCAAATAAAAACAGCAGCAAACGTTTCAGTCCTTGACTCTCATCAATGCTCTTTCATCTCTTCACGTCAGCCTTTATTCCTGTCTCAATCAAAAAACCTTGCAGTGTCCTCAAACTGTTCAGAACTGTTCAGGCTTTTAACCAAACCAAGAGGTACGACCACATCACACCAGTTTCAGCCTCTTTACATCGGCTCCCTGTTTGTTTTAGGATTGACTTTAAAATCTCATTAATTACTTTCAAGGCTCTTCATGGCTCCAGATTACATGTCAGACCTGTTAGTCCCTTATGAACCTTTACGTAGTTTGAGATCCTCAGGCAGAGGTCTTCTGCTTGTTCCAGAGTCCAGACTGAAAATGAAAGGGGACAGAGCTTTTACCACCAGGGGCCCGAGACTCTGGAATGACCTGCCCGAGGGTATTAGTCACTGGCTTCGTCTAAGGGCGCATTCACACCAGGATAGTCCGGGGAACTCGGTTCAATTGGGCGGGGAATGCCAAAAAATTTCACACCTTCATTTGGTTCGGTTCACTTTCAAACTGCATTTTTTAAAGCGGACCAAACTGCCTGGACAACATCACGCAGTTACAACAGCTGCTTGTTTGGGGGCAGTATTGCCCAAAAAGACCACTGACCAGGAAGAAAACAAGAATGAGGAGGAAGAAAACCCTGCTCAGTGATTGGCCAGGACCCAAAACTGAAATACATCCTCTTCAGCCAGCTTGGTTACCACAAAAACAATGGAGCAACACCAAATCTATGCAGTCGTGGGGTTTCTGTTTGACTTTATATTGCTGTCAGTTTTTTTTTTACCTTGATGTGACACTGATCTGCTGACCGATTAAATCCCTGTGCCGCCATCCTCTCGCTTCTCCCGGTTCACGCTGTTGTTTTTTTTTTTGTTGTTGTTGTTTTTTTTCACTTCCTCTCTTTGGTTCACT